CTTCTTCTTCTTCTTCTTCTTCTTCTTCTTCCTTCCTCTTCTTCTTCTTCTTCTTTTTCTTCTTAATTAAGCTTAAATGGCATTTGCTTAATCAATAACACAGTTTCACTAGAATTATTGCTGCACCCCAGAAAAGCATCACTCAGAAATTAAGCAGCTGGCTGTCTTCCAGGGAAACGTGTCCCTGTGTCCTGCCTTCCTGAGACTTCTTGCCTGCATGCGGGGCCCAGCGGCGCCAGAGAAATGGAAGTGACTTTACCTACCCACCGAAAGTAGAAGTCTGTAACAAGGAAAACAGCTAAGTTAAGAGGAAGTGGTTTTCATTTTACTGCTTGCAGAAAGGCCAAGATTTTGACGTTTAAAGCGGGCACACGAGTCATTTTAAGTCTCTAGATCTTTCACCCTGAAAGTCCCTGCACAGAAACTCCATAGGGAGTCTAAATATAGCAATAGCACCCCCCTCCCGCCCCCTCCGCCTTCAGTCAGGGTCCCGCGCAGCTCTAGGATTGGAGAGCTTACTCCAGGGCGCTCTCTGCATCTGCCTCGAATAGCACCGCACGGAGCAACCTCTCTCGCACCTCCACAGTGCGTGGGTGTGAAGTGTATTAGGGGAAAGCTAGAGTGACTCTGGGTGCTGGTGATCGGCTCACAGTCACGTGGCGTCGCCGCCAGCTGCAGAGAGCTCCCAGCTAGCTTCTGCTGCCCAGAGGCTTGGGGGAAAGGAGGGAGGGCTTGCTCCTGCTGGTGACCAAGAGCAGGCAAGAGGGCTTCACACAAATAATAGTGACAATAAAGAGTAAAAGCAAAGCATTTAAATGGAGTTATTGCAGGAGACAAAAATCAGCTGCTGCGGGCGTGGGTGTGTGTACAGGGTGGAGGGGAATTGGGAAAGTATTTATCTCGGAGGGGAGGAGACGGCTGCAAGAAGACTTTTGCCTTAGCATTGTTTTAGCCTTAGGAAAGGAAGAGGCCCGAAGGAATCCACCTTGCAACTATCTGCTGTGTCTTTGTGGTGGAAGCTTAGTTTTCCCTTCAGTTTAATTTGATGATTGTTTTCGTTCATATTCAGGGAAGAGCCACTCTGTTGGAAGAAGTCCCCGAGCCTGGCATCCTTCAGTTTTCCCTATGCTGAATGTGAGGTTTAAACTGCTTTTTCTTTGTAATATACTGTTTCTGAAGGCCAGAGGCCGCGGCCAGTGGCACCGTGGCCTCTCTCTCCGCCAAGGGTGCCTGGGCTTTGGGCCACCCGGGTGCCAGAGGTGGTGGAAGACCCAGTCAGTTGTTCCTTGCAACAGGTCTCTAAGCTTGTAAGTTCCAACATAAGGTGGGTGGGGTCGGAACCCCAAAAAGCTGGCGTCCGGGACACCCCACCCTCAGGTTTTCTTTACCAGACACTGGGGTCCTCGCTGCCGCTGCCGAACTTCTCAATCATATGACTTTATTGGACTTAAATGGAAATTTCTTGACGGAGGGAACCGGGTTTGTTCTCCCAGGCTTCGCGCCGCAGTCAAGCAGAGCCCCGGGGCAGCTCGCTCACAGCGGAGGAGCAACTTTGGAGTTTTACGCCCTTTCCACACCCCACCCATGGACTGGAAAGGATGTTCAGTTACTCGCGGGCTTGTTGTCTGATACTGGGATGGAAAGTCACAGTCCGCAGGCTGGAGTGAGATGCGGGAAGATGCCTGGTCCTTGCCTGGCGGACTCGGCAGCCGAGTCCTTCGAGTCTGTCCACTGAATTGCGGAGGGCTCGCCCGTGTGCGGGGACCCGAGTGCCACTGCCTGGAGCGTTACCTTGCGCTCCAGCCTCCAGGCTAGCTAATACCTGGAGGGCAGGGCAGGGCTGTTCCCGCTCTCACCCCTTGCGGAAGGATGGCAGGATCCGGCGCAGCGACGTAGCAGCGGGAGAGCACAGCGACCTGCGTCTCCAGTTTCTCCTCAGGACACAAGGCTGACTTCACCTTCCGGACAGCTGCAAAGCCCCTGCCACAACCAAACCAAACTCGCGCCTCGGAGAGGGGCTTCTGGAGTCCGTCACTGCAAGGCGTGGGGAGTGGAGAGAGGGAAGAAAGGGGAAGCCTGGGGCTGGGTGTGCGCGCGTGGGAGCGCGCCTCGGAGCGCCCCGCACTCCCCCACTCCGTCCCCGGGGGCACTTTGGGAAGGAGGGAGTGGTAGTCGCGGGAATGAGGGAGAAAGAGAAACCCTCTCAAACTGACGCCCCAAACAGGTCCGGATTTAGAATTCGAAGCTAAAGGCTGTTAGAAATCGGGACTCCTCGGCCTCCTCTGCAGCCCCTCCTTTCCCGCCCCGAAGCCCGGGTGGTTTGCTGGCTGCCTGCTTCCCCGCCCCCGGCTCAGAGGTCTCTGGCTGG